CCGTAAATTGAGAGATTATTTGGGCTTGTTAAAATATAATCAACTACACTAGTGCTATACCTGAAACATAAGTAAAATTTCCACTCCTGTTTGTTTAAAGAGTCTTCCATTCACAATTTTAAGGTTGGTACTTTTACAAAATTCCAATAACTCCAAACCATATATATTACACTCATTATCCATAGATTCCCTTTGTGGAATATCATTAATAGTAGTAAACACATCACCCATAGGTAAGTGGTTCACATTACAATCAGAACTATCACTTTTATTACCCGTACGACCATTAAAATCTCCCCAAATTATTACCTTACAATCATATTTAGTGGAAAAAGTAACCAAATTATTTTCTAACTGATCAAATAAATATGGGTTTATAAAGTTAGAACCTTCAGAAGGCCTATACACACTTGCCACTATTAACACTGGGCTTTCCTTATGTTTAATTAGAGACCATACTGAATAACTATCCTTATATATATATTCAATATCAAATTGAGCAATATTATTTTGATTAAATAGAATGGATATTCCCCCCGAGGCCCTCCCGAATTTCTTTTTCTTTACACCAGCGTTATGTATGGTTTTAAACCCTTCAATTTGAAAATCAAATTGTGAATCAACCCATGTTTCGAGAAGACACACAAAATCAAAAGACTTAACATAGTTCAAAAAATCAGTGTCTAATAGTTTTCCGTATAAACCATTGATATTCCAAAATAAAAATTTGAAATCTGTGGTTTCACACCTATCGTACAAAACTTTAACTGTTTTACCTTCTGCTCTTGCATCCACCACAAATTTACCTAATTTTCGGCGTAGATCTCTGATTTTAGGAGTGAAGTCCTCGCGAATACGGAATTCCGTCCCTTTTAATTTCACAGCAGCACGTAGAACTTCATCCCTCTGTTTATACCTAAGAAACTTGCCTATTATTGGTTGTGGTCGGCTACGGGCATAAGTTAAACGGTGAACAATCTGAAATTCTATCTGTGAACCGTCAATATCCAGTTTATCAGTAATAAATCCACATAGTAACTCTTCCATCTGTTCCCATGTTTCCAAACCACTCTGTGGAATGCCGTGGAAAATTAAATTGTTCCGTAACATGTGCGCCTTCATTTTATCACCTGCATTTTCCATTGTGTCAATTTTATCACTCAATTGTTTATTTTGCTCAATCAGTTCATTTATTTTCTGTCGGTTGTCATCAACGCCAGATTTCAAGGCTCTCATTTCATCAGCAAGCTTACGACCACATCATCTA